TTTTATCACGCGAAAATATTTTTTCCTGTACCCCCCTTCAGGACTTTTTCGTCTCAAGGGGGGGAGGGCCCGGCCCCCCCCGCCCCCCCCCCCTGCGTACGCCACTGAATAGAAGTTTGTCTGTTTTTAGTAAAAAGAATTGACAAAATTTCGATGAGAATGAATATTTTTTCAAGAATCTCTGTCAATTCGTATATATAACTCTTTCGAGTAATTTTTTACTCATAAAAGTCTCACTTTCGACAAGAAATGTGATCATGGATGAGATCGAAAAGAAGTTTCACACTTCGACTCATACTCTCGCTTGGTTGCTGAATAGTACATAAGTTTCGGTAATGAAATCATCCAACAGAACTATATCGGTATCGGTATATTTCTAAGAGAAATTTCTTCAAAAATTTGACAACTGTTTAAATAAAAGTATTTTCTGAGTGATAATTTTTCACTATCATAGATATATCCAAAAATTACTAAGGGTAATGTGACACATGGTGTAAAGAATGCACTACTTTCGTGGGTTTTATAGTATCGAGAAGAGAAAGAATAGATGATCAATTCTTAGTCCTAACAAACTACGATAACAACTTTGAAAGTTGTCTGATAATTTGAAACTTTCGATTTATATATTTTTACACAGTTCTGTGATTGTAAGTTAATAAAATGATAGCTGCAACTGGAAAAAAACGTGGATGATAACAGAAGATTATATTTAAACTTGTGACTTTAAGATGGTCTCACAATTTTACTAATACAAACTCAATCTCAAATGAAAAGCAATGACAAAATGTTTGTTCTATGTGCTTCTATAGACGTGATCTGAAATAAATAGATAAACCAAAACCATTTTCTGACTTTTCGTCCACGACTGTTCATCGTAAGATTATTAAAAAAATACATCAATCGTCAAAGTTGTTGATAGAAGATCGATTGCATTTAGATTTCAATTTATAATCAATTAACAAAATCAAATCATTTGAAACATAGAGAAATTATTCTGATTGATTATTTTTCAAACGTTGAATAAACGATCGAATTACATATTTCAAAAGGATTTGATTTCGAAATGAGTAAAGAAAATGTTCAAATATCTCCATTGTGTGTTGTAAAATGTATTTATTGAGGAAGTTTAGAAAGGAAACCTTCTATGGATCTAAAACCGTCGATATCTGAATATATTCTATGATATTTGACAATGTTTGATAAATTATTTATCAAATTTAGTTAATCGAAGGTACTTTGAATCGTTTTGTTAAGAAAAATAAATTGCATCAAAATTATTACAACAATTTGTTCTTTGAACAACTTTTAGAACCTTAAATAACTTATAATAATTGTTTTCGGAAATATAAATAAAGCGATGCAATGGAGGAATTCACTAATTGAAAAAAAAAATGATTATTTTCCAATGAGTCAAGTACCGAAGTTTTTTTTTTTTTACAATATTCACTGTTGAAAGAAAAACAATAGAGAATAGTGAAGCAACTATCAATATCCACATATGATGAGTGTTTTTCATTGGTCATTCTATTCTCAATTTGTTATTAAAGTATGACTCTTCATTTTTCGTTAAGGAAGAAAGAAATTCATTGACGATATTAAAATATTCTATGAAGGATTCACGTTTTCCAGCATTAAAATGACACTCGATGTAAAATTACTTAATTTTATATTATATATGTCAAAGAATAAAATCATCAAAAAAAAGTTTCATACATTCTGTTCGTCATTGATGTCTATTCGAATGTGAAATAGATAAAATGTTGCCATTTTAAGAGAAAGATGAATCGTGAGAAATCTTGTCGATATACTTTCAGATCAAATCTATTTAATCAATGTTCCGTTTTCAGTTTGAAATCAATAGAAAAAGAGAATCATGTGATTTTCTGTTTTTAATTAGTTACTTTTAGACTTAATGTCTCAAGATAAATAAAACAATAGTGAAAGCTCTCAGACAGTTCCGCATAGGATAGTTCGTCCAGTATATTTCTTGTAGTTCATCAATTGGCTTCCATGATTAACCTATTTTATCAACTTAATTTCTTTCTATTTGTTTCTGTCCAAGTTAATTAATTTCACATTTTAATTATTATACTATTCAGAAAAGTCGTACTTGTTTGTCTGAAAACAAAATACTAGATCTAGGAAAATTTTAGCAACGGTCCTAGTTTTCTGTGTTTTTTAAAATCCCTTTGATTCGCTGAAGCTTTGTCGAAAATTTTTAATTTTTTAATCTGCTACGAAAACAAGTACCGAAAATTAAAAATACAAGATTATTCGTGAAAACTATAAGGAAAATCAGGATCTGATGTTATATATAATCTAGAGTATCACGAGCTTGTTGAACTTTGATGAATACGAAAGTGAATTATTGAAAATTTATTGAAACCCATTTGAACTTGCTAAACTCCGCTGAAATTAGGGCTCACTATTTCTTTTAGAAGATTTCAAAGTCGTGCCTTGAGTATTAAGAAGGAATAATGCTACTTTTCCAATGTATTTTTCAGCTGTGAATTCTAAACTTCTAATGAGTTCACTTACGTTAGTCTTTTCATATTGCTAAAGACCATTGAAGATTCTTTGATATTCTATTGCAATGTGGCGGATTTCTTCAGATTTTCATGAACTTTAATGAATTCTGTGGTTGTTAAGGTTCAATAGAAGTCATTAGAACTTTCTATATATCTATTTTTTGTTCGCTAAATAAAACTTACAACAAATTATGTTGAAAGTAAATTTCAAGTGAAACTGACAACGACTCCTTTTGAGGGTGTGGGTGTCGCTATTCTCCATACCCACACCCATCCGCAGCCATAGCCATACCCGACACATCCAATAGGGATGGTCTTTGAAGGATAGAACCTATATCCAGCAGTTGGAAACATTCTTCCAATAGGTCTCTTCTCTTCGACTAGGTAAAATTTCGTTGATTTTTCAATGTTTCAAACGTGTTAGAGATGTCAAACACAAAGGAATGATAAGAGAATGTTTCCAAGAGCTCGATATCCATCGGATATCGAGGAGATCGAAACAAATAGAATAAGGAAAAATATATAATTTTTTAACATACAACTATTCCTGGCATCTATCACTGACTTTAAAAGATTTACTTGGAATATTCGACTAGTAGGAAAAATTAATAGCATTTAAAAGCTCCATTATGGCATTCATTCGTAAATCTTTTGATCATTTTAACCTTCTCACTACTTCGCACAGACACTCACAACATTTAGTCTCACAGGTAGTCTAATCAGTCGGCAACGAATACAACATCTTGTCAGTGCTCTAAAACACAACAAAGCAACACATCGTTCAACGTTCTCTTCTTGTCATTACTCATTCAGTATTTTTTGCAGACACTCATCACACTTCAGCTCGGTTACGATAAAATCGGTGGCGAAGGAGCACAACATATTGCCAACGCTCTAAAACAATACAAAGTAACACATTCTCTCTCCAACTTTCTCATCTCATCGCTTATTCACAATTTCATACAGACACATCAGACTTGATCTCAGTGGCTATGGATTCACTGATAAAGGAGCAGAATATCTTGCAAATGCTCCACAACAAAACAAAGTACATTTAGCAATACTGCATAATCCTAGGATTGTTTTTCTGATGGCAACAAAAAAGACATTGTAAATTCAGCTACAAGGTTAAACAAACAAGACAAAGTAACATAAACGAGAAAAAAACACAAATGTGAATAAAGCTTTTTTAAAGGTGAAATAATTTTCATCCAGACCAAGGAGCTGCATTTGAAACTAAATGTAACCTTTTTTTTTGAAAAATTTTTGTTTGCGCAATCAATTTCTTGAGAAGCTGTATGATACTCGGCTAGAAGTTCGGACTGCAAAATATAATTATTTTGATGCTAGTGAATATAAGGTCGTCGATTAAATATATGGGCAACGAAATATTGATATCTTTCTCCTGTTTCTCATCCAACATTCAAGACAACGTTACATATTTTTCGTTCAATGGATTCTTGTTAAATCAAAACGAAGTCGTCTATTCTAGTCAATACCCGAAAAAAAAACACAAAACAAAATCATGCCAAATGATAATTAGGAACGAACATCGAGCGAAAATCGTTGCACTCTATGATTCCAATGATCGGCCACGTAAAGATTGCCCAGTCGATCGAATGATAATCCCCGAGGTCGGTTAAGTTGATTCGCTTGGTTCCCTTGGCCGTTTATACCAATAGCAATACTTCCGTGTGAAGCTCCTTTTGGCCAGTACATTATCCGATCATTCATATAGTCGGCCACATAAAGAATGCCTGCTTGATCGACGGCCACTCCCTGAGGATTATGCAATTGTGTGACGGCATTCCCTGGACCATGGTCACCAGCAACAACGATGCCTTCTTTTGCGCCTTTCATCCACTTCATCACACGATGATTGTTAGAGTCTGATACGTAGACTGAGTGATCTTCATCCACAAAGATAAATGTTGGAGAATTGAGCTGATCGAGACGATTACCCTTTCCATTACCACCTGCAACCACTGATCCACTGGTTTCACCTGTTCGCCATCGTCTCACTTCATCTTTTTCAACGTTACAACCGTAAAGAAATCCATCACTAGTTATCGATACACCAAAACAGTAGATATTCGAGATGATCGTTTCACCATTTGTACCACCTTGCCGAGGCCATCGCACTATTCGACGGTTGCGTGAGTCGCTGATGATGATACTATCTGTTTGTTTATCAATAATTACATCTCTTGGACCATCCAATTGATTCGCCTTGCTTCCCTCATCATTTCCTCCAGCAGCAAGTCGACCACTAGTTTCATCAGGCTTCCATTCCATAACACGATCATTCACACAGTCAGCGACATAGATATTTTGATCATCATCAAGAGTTAAACCCCATGGGTAAAAGAGTTGATTTAATCCATTGCCTTTTTTATTTCCCCCGGCCACAGTGATGCCGTCTTGCGTCCACATGGTAATAGGAAGCATGCTTGCCTGATCTTCAAATAAAAGAGAATTCGATATCAAGATATAGTACAGTAAAATACTCAAATACACTTTTCAAACGAAAATATCGTCCACGATTTTCCTTCTTGTATTTTTGCTTTTAAGTAAATTATTGAAATATTTACACACTACAATAGTTTTTAACGCTTTTCTTCTTTATATAGATTATATTTTTTTAATCGTTATGCTCCCGGTTCTCTCCTGGCTGGTCAACTGCGTGTCTAGTAAATCACGATAACAGAACTAAAGACAAAAATTAGAGGATGATTGTGACGACATCGATGTGTCTGTCATGTCTTATAATTCTTCTTCCTGTTATCTATTTCTTCCCTCTTCCTTTCTTCTTCTTATTCTCTCTCTCTATCCTTCTCTCTCTTGGTTGAGTTGCTGAT